AATTCAGAAGTAGCTAATTTATGAAAATCACCAGTAGAATGAAATCTTTTATTTTGATAAGTTAAATGTTGCACTGTCAACAGAAGAGGCGGCATTTTTCTTCAGAGCATCATTGATTCCTTTCAAGTATAATTAAACTCGTATTTGTTGGCTCTGCAGATGATTCTTCACCACAAGCTTTTTCTAAGGCAGTTAATGGAATTAAATGAGTAATAGTTGTTAACAATATATTGTTCCTAAAACCTTTGTGAAAAGGCTTGACATATTAGTTCAGTCAAATGAACAAGATACTGTGGTACCTATTGGAGTGTAACATGAGTACTTTGGGCTCGTTGAACAGCGAACAGAAAAAGGCTGGCGTGAGGTGTTGGTTGATATTGACCCAGAAGTTCCTGACCAGCTGCGGTTTGTCCTGTCACCATCCAGGACCCCTGCGACACAAAACTTTATTCAGGTGAGGTTATGCCTACCAGAGCTCATCCTTACACCTTTAGTGACTCTTTCAAGTACATTTAGTGCTTCTCAGTTACTCTTACAGCAAGAAGAGGGCTCTCAGTCTATAAATGAATAAAGCTTAAAATTTCCACAAGTGTTTAGCTTTGTATGCTGTGAAACTGCAGCACAAAAGTTACCATGTGTATCAAACTTTGCAAAATAGAAGCTTGCACACAGAACATGTCTCAGAGAGCAAACCAAGACACCAAATGATGGGCAGACTTTTCCACTGTGTGTGTGGCATCACCATCTCAATAGTGGCCCTGCCGCAGCCAGGCTCTCAGCATGCTGCAGGGTACTCAGGGCAGCTGCCTGCTCAGTGCCAGGCTGACCTGTAATGGAGAGTGGCTGTGGCTTTTTCCTGAAGTGCACTGGATACTCAAAGCTACAAAATTAAGTAGTGGAGATTAAACGGAGCTATGAAGTCTCACAGAGGAAGGGCTCTCGGAAGGGTGTGCACAGCTGAAGTGCTATTTTCCTTAAGTACTACAGCAAGGAAATTTCACCTGATAGAGATATTATTGGTAGAAAAATTGGCATTTGACTACTGGTTATTGAAGAGAGCACTGAAATCCAGCACTCAGAAAATACTAACTGAGAATGAGTGATAGCAAAAACTAGCTCAAGCCAGTGTAGGTAGCCTAGGATGCACCTCCTGTACCTGCATGTCCCAGGAAAGCAACAGCCCCAAGACACCAAGTGTGAGGGATACTTGCCTTGTGCTTGTCTGCTAATACAGGTGTTCTGGTGTTTGAACTCTGCACTAGCCAGAAGAAACAAGAGACCACGTGGAAGTGTGTCCTGAGGCTGGTGTCATTGTGCAGAGGCTGGCCTCTCGAATAAAGAAGGATGGTGGAGCTGCTCTGGTCGCAGATTACGGCCACGACGGAACCAAAACTGACACTTTCCGGGTAAGGCATTTGCCCTGTAGCAATAAATCAAAAGACTCTGTTATCTTTGATTGTTAGGTTCTTGTAAGTTAAAGTTCATAGGTGGGCATAATAGCAAAAACTGCATAAAACTGAGTAATTCCTGTTTAATCAGTACCCAGAAGGATTTCTGTCAGTTGGAAAGGGAAATCTGAGCTCTTCCTACATTTATCTCAAACTTTCCATGTATAATTTGCTATTGTCGCCACTCTTAAGGCACAGCTTAATTTTTGCCAGCCCTGGCTATGATGGTTGGGCTACAGCTGAGTGTAATCTTCCAATTTCATTTGCAGGGTTTTCGGAATCACAAACTTCACAATGTGCTGAGTGCTCCAGGTACAGCAGACCTGACAGCAGATGTTGATTTCAGCTACCTTCGAAAGATGGCACAGGGAAAAACAGCTACATTAGGCCCTATAAAACAGAGGGAGTTTTTAAAGAACATGGGCATTGACCTCCGACTGCAGGTACGAGTGTACACATCTGCAGAACTCTCCCAATCCACAGGCAATACTCTTAAGCAGTACGAGAGCTTTAGTCTTTGGTTTTAAAATGAAGTTGTTCAAAATAATATATAGGTATGAGATCAGAAAGTTGATTCTGCTAGATGTAAGTTACTCCAGATCCCTGAAAATAAATTGATTATATTTAGGAACATTTAATGCAAAACTTTCATCAGTGTGTGGGCTATGGACCACCACCAGTGATCTCACCAGTTTTACCAACCATTACAGCACCATTAAGTGGAAAGGATGCAAGAAGGGATTGCAGGTATGCAGGAATTTATAGGAATACAGGAAGGACTCTAACCTGCATTTTTTTTCCAGGTGCTCTTGCAGAATTCAAGTGACACAGCAACTCGTGAGCAGTTACTTCACAGCTATGCTATGTTGATGAATCCCGAGAAGATGGGAGACTGTTTTAATTTTTTTGCCCTGCTGCCTCACCACAGACTTGTACATCCTGACAAGAAAGATAAGCCAGAATCAAAGTCTCCCCTACCACCTGTTGCTGGATTTAATGAACTGTTACTAAAGTAATTTTAAATACTATGGCAAAATGCAGGATGGCTGTTTCAGAATGAGTCTGGTGCAGCACACCAAACCTCTGGACTGACCTGTTCAAAGCAGTATGAGTGGAAATAAAACACTGCGCATACAGAAACCAGCACACACAGAGCAAAGAATGAACAATGTTTTGGGAGTCTTTTGAGAGAACAGATTGAAATATTTACTAATGGATTCCAAACTTGTCAGTAACATGCACTATGAAGACTTTAAATGTATACAAGCTTTGGTACTTGAATAAAATCAAGATGCCTTGACATCTCTGAAGATATTTTTATAAAGAGAATAGTGACAGGACGCAGGTAAAAGGAGTTCCTGCTGGCTGAATTTCCACAGCAGGACATATTTAATAAATCCACAAACAAGAAAGTATAGGACCATTTACTTCTAAGAACATTTTATAGGAGAGATAATTCACGTAAATAAAAAGAACTAGTCTGATAGGAAAATAAATTTTATTTTCAAGCTTACCAGAGGATATTTACAAACAATGGGGTGTATAAAAATATAAAAGTATTTGACAGTGTCATTTTGAGGCTATAAATTTT